CACACACACACACACACACACACACACACACACACACACACACACACACACACACACCCGCGCGAACGATATCTCACTGAGTTATGCCCCGGTCCACCAACCCCAACCCCGCACAGCGCACCCGCACAGAAATTATCGGGCAATCGATTCAAACTCCTGTCCTGCAGTCCAAAATGACCTCGCTAAATCTTATCTCCTTTACTTCTCTAGATTTCAATCCATCCATACATCAATCCATCCATCCATCCATCCATCCACCCTTCAATCTATACTCCTCGAGTTTTGCACGTGTCATAACACTTACGCTGGGCCAGATCTTACGGCACTCAGGAAGCAACAAACGGTTTGATATTTACTTGTGTCCACTGTCTACCGATCACGTACACAACGTAACGCACGTGCGTAAGACAAATGCATGCTGCAGATTATTGCAAGTCGTTCAAGAGAGGCAGATGCTTCAGAAAGAATATATCCAACCCTCGAGGCTCTCTACTCAATCCCGAACTTCCTGCTGAAGATAACCTTTTGGAAGATAACGTTTAGGACAAGACCAACGTTTGGGCCGAGACAAGCATGCGAATCTATCAGTAAACGTAGTTAAAAAACAGTAAACGCTTCAGCAAAACTGAGTACGTAAGCAATAACAGCGTACTTTAAGCACTAACAGAGTACTTAGTTTTACCTTAAGAACTTACGCACAGAGTACTTAGTTTTACCTTAAGAACTTACGCAATAACAAAGTACTCATCGTACTTAAAGAAAGTAAGCACTAACAAAGAAATTTAAGCACGAGTACTCAGCGTTCACAAACAGCGTACTGGCGGAACGGAAAAGAGTACTCAGGCTCTTACGCTAACGGAAGAGTGGTTAAGTAGCCGTTACGTTAAGCTCTAACGGAAAGTACTGAAGAAACAGAAAAAGCACTTGCGGCCCGCCGAGAAAGAATTTCAAACGACAGACACATTTCTTTTTTCTTTGTGCTTTTTTGAAAACCACCCCCAAATTTGCGATGAAAGACGAGGACGCCAAAGCAAACGAAGATGCCCGTTCTGACAAGGACAAGTTTAATGAACAATCACGCCTCCTCGCTCCCACCTTGACGGCTAATCACCGTCGTCACTGCTGCAGCCGTCGTTGGTACTCTTGGTTCGCGTTGTTCACTTCTTTTCCTCGACCATTGATTCGACACGATCGTGCGATAACGATACAATCAAAATGGACACGCCGTCTCCGATGATAGATAGATAGATAGATACAGAGATAGAATACCCAAAAACAGAGAGAGAGAGAGAGAGAGAGAGAGAGAGAGAGAGAGAGAGAGAGAGAGAGAGAGAGAGAGAGAGAGAGAGAGAGAGAGAGAAGTCAAGAAACGATGGGAGAACGAGCGTTTGGGAGACGACAACAACAGGAGTTCTTCTACCTACGGTGGTGCCTAGCTATGTATCTCTTGCTTTGGAACTCGAGCTACGACCACTAACTATAGTCTAGCTATTGAGGACCAAGAAAGACAAAGAAACCAGCAAGCACAGAGAGATTACAGCCCTCTTGCTCTCCTCGTTCTCTTTAGCTCACGGAAAGGCACCTAGCAATGGTTCCACGACCCACAAACCTCGAGTCGATGATGTTCGTAAGATGCCTACAGATGCCAACGGCCTCTCTCTCTCTCTCTCTCTCTCTCTCTCTCTCTCTCTCTCTCTCTCTCTCTCTCTCTCTCTCTGTGTGTGAGTGTGTGTGTGTGTGTGTGTGTGAGACGATCTCTCGATCTTGATCCCGAAGACGATCGATTTTGAAAAGAGAACCGTTCACAGGTCGGGGTCCATATCCCGCTCCCTGAGTCCCACAAGCACATGCCCACTCCCTTCCCTCCTTCCTTCCGCTCTCCCTCCCACTTCTTTTCCGTTTTCCGTCCCTTCCTTTCTCTCAACGGAGAGAGAAGGGTGAGTTTTATGCCAACGATAGGCGCGAAGAACGGCCTTCCGCCACGTGGCGGCGACGACGAACAGCCGGCCGAAGCAGGTGATGAGCTTTGGCGCGAAACGGCAGCAAACGGCAGCAAACGGCCGCAATGGCGCTCAAGAACACAGTGGCGACGGCAGATGACAGGCTTGACGGCGGCTGACGGCCGACAACACAGCGACGTCCGGCACGTCGAATCGAGCGAAGCGCTAGGAGAAGCAGGAAGACAAACAATCTCCCAACTCTTCCTTTTCCTTGCTGACCCTTATATACCCTTTTTTTTCTTTTCTCCCTTTTTTTTCTTTTCTTTCTATTTTTTGTCGTAGTACTACCGTTCGCTGGGGCGAGGTCCCACGAGCAAAGAGGATTGGATTGAACTCCCGAATCTGGACACGTTTCAACCACAGATGCAGAAAAGAAGTTCAATCTCGATTTTATGCATCTTTCCACGCGCACGTCTACATTCGGGCATCCCTGTGATACTGGGACCTGCCTAGGCCCAAAAGCAAGAAGATCATGCGAACGCGGCTTCCATGACGGGCTGACGTCACCGAGAATGGGTTGGCTGACCGGGGCTAGGTCCCATTTGCACGAATTAAGAGATACTGACCGTAGATAGCAAAGATCAACGGCCGAAATCTCCTAATTTGCGCAAGTCGGACCTTGCCCCCGTGCGTGAGGCGATAGAACTGAGGCGGGAAGGAGGAGGGAGGGCGGAGGTGGGGAGCGAGAGAGAACATGAAGAGGCACAAGGGTGGGTACCGCCGCAATGACCTATTGAAAAGCGGAAAAGCCACTGCTCACCGAATGTGCGAAATGGAGGATGCATCTTCCCCCACAAACCCTCTAGATACAGCCGGCATAATTCTCGCCGTTTCACATTTGACACCACGTCTGGCTTGGCTTTACGTGCATTCTTTACTTTCTTCGCGCCTCGACCCACGACCACCAGAATCTGCAACAAAATGAAGCATGTATCTTCTCGAAAAACATGGAAACATGCACCAGCCATAGGTTTGTCCTTTTCACATTCCGGAGCCCGTGTCCCACTAGCGGGGGTTTAGTTTATGTGTATGTGGATTTTCCAACGTGGCCACACTACCTTCTTCCCCCGAACACAACGCACCATCATTTTGACTGCACAGGGACGGAAAGGTAGTCTGTATACATTCATTATCAGGGTGCCTTGTGTTCGGGGGAAGATGGGAGGGATGTGATTTTTTTTATTTTTATTTTTTCTTTTCTTTGGATGTGAGATTTTCAGATCGGATGGCGAGGAGCCATGTATATTCGAAACCAGAACAAAACCTCGAGAAGTGGGACATGGCCCCGGGGGCCAGGTCCCACTTACGCTGGTTCTTCATTTCTGGCCGTCGATCAACGTAATCTGCGGTCAGAAATTGAGAATTCGGGTAAGTGGGACTTGGGCCCGCGAGTTGTGTGCCAGATCTCGGGGGCAAAAATGAAAATAAAAAAAAATCGGAGGGATTGGAATTCAAAGACCTCTTCATCGACAAATTTCATGTGCGTATCATTCAGAGGTCACGCTCAAGTCACAAAAAAAAAAAAAAAGAGAGGTCACGCTCACAATACCAAATAAGACCATGGATTCCTTGCTTTTTCCCAGAAAAAAAAAAAAAAAAAAAAGGACTTCCCTGTGTGTATCGGATCGGCTTACGGCCACGATCGGCTGCATAGGACTGCCATTACGTCCAGAGAGAAGGTGAAAAGTCCCACCGTAGTGCCAGTTTGCCCTCAGCCACATGGGCGGATGCATTGGCGGCAATTTGGCGCCTTCTCTCCAACAGGAAATGGGCCTACCGTCGGGCCAAGTCTTATCGTTCCGGCATTTGGCAGGATGCATTGGCGCCTTCTCTTCAACAGAAAAAGACAAAAACATGAAGAAAAAGATGCTGACAGTAGATAGCAAAGATCAACGGCCGAAATCTCCTAATTTGCGCAAGTGGGACCTTGCCCCCGGCGGGAAAGGGAAAAAACAACTAACGAATTGTCTGCTTCGGCTGAGGTCATTCCCCGCCCCCGCCCCCGCGCATGTAATGGGCCTCGCTGCACTACTCTCCAAATGTGCAAAATGAAAATGAATCGTCCGCTAGAACATGGAAAGATACACCCCCATATTTTTTGTCTTTTGTGCATGTGGAGAGTAAGGGTCTGATCCCACCACTGCACTACGCGTCTGATCCCACAGTACTTACGGTTAGTAAAAAGCTGCGTTTTGGCCCCACAGTACTTCCGGTTAGTAAAAAGCTGAAGCTGCGTTTGGGCGGATCCCACAGTATTCCGATTTGGTAGGAGGTCCCCCTAGTTTCGGAGGCCAGTGGAAACATTTGTAGTCGTGGCGGGCAGGCAGCGAATGAACCGCGGCGAAAAAGCTGAAGGGAAAATGTAAGACAGCTCGGCCCGTACCCTGCCGCGAAAAAGAAGGGGCACTTTTTTGCGGCGCCATTTTCGTGAAAAAGAAGGCTCGGCCCGTACCCTGCCGCAAAAAAGAAGGCAAAGATGAATGGCTCCGGGAGCGGGGGGAAGGGTCGGCGCGCGACTTCTGCGGCGCCATTTTCGCGCCTGCGCTGTTCACGCGGCTTGAACCCTAAGTGAAAATTTCACCATGGCTTTCCCGCCTTCATCATTGAGGGTGAAGGTGATGAGGGGACAGATACTGATCCCTAGTGAGTTTTTTTTCTTACATGGGGAAGCTGTCCACGTCGGGAGACCACCTCCCCCTAGTACAGTGCCCATCATTACCAGAACATACCAGAAATACTAGTGTAACGCTCACTTCGAGCGTTCCACTACAGGGATTTACCAAATTGGGAACACGATTCCTCTGCTGCGGATTTTTGCCAGTACTGCCGACGATGTCTACTTTCAGCTCCTGGACTTCTACTCTCGATGAGACTTCATCATTCGGTCCTCTTCCTTTTGTGGTTCATTTTGAATCTCTCGATTCAAGGGTGCTCCCCGGGGGTAACTTCTGCTAGAGTGGTACGGGGAGGCTACATCGGTCGTCACGTCGCTGCTGTTAGACTGTCACTTCCTCCAATTCCCCATTTTCGGGTTGCGTTCATTCCATTTTGGCCAGATGTTGCTCTGTTTTTTCCGAATATAGTATACTCGCTCCACTTCAGGTCTTCCTGTTCCCCCAAAGTGTTTCATTATGTAACACAGAGTACTGTGGTTCCTAATTCTTAAGCCTCTCAACTTCCTGACTCTTCAGTACTGAAACGGGAGGCGGATTTTACCAATTTCTTATTATCAACCTCTATCCCAACTCGCCACACAGTCTCAGTTCGGCTCCTCTTCTCGAAGTCGTACTCACTCCCATTCCCAAGGCAGCATTCTACCCCTCCTTCGACGCGAGATTGGATGTCGGATCTGCTCTACCAATTTACGCCTAATCCGGTAATCCACAGTCACAGTCACATTCGCTCACGTGAAACAGCCTCTTCACAAGCACTCTTCACCATCACGTACTGAGTCTCCTAGTTTCACGATGAATGACGATGGGGCCAGCGCCTTTGACATCTCACACCTCGATACAAAAACAAAAGAAACGCAGAGATTAGCAGGAATGATGAAGGGATGGTTTGCAGATCACATTTCGCAAGATGTGTCCGATTTCGTTGAAACCACAGTCAATGAAGAAGATGACTGTACTGAAATCCATCCGAATGAACACTTTTAGACGATTCAAAATGAATTCTTGAAATGCATGACAGTGGCGATAGTTTCCAGGGTGAGACGAGAATTTGGTCTAATGATAGAAAAGTTGACCTTATTCGCTACTTGGAAGACTCTGTCCTCTGAGTCACAGAAGATGAATTGGTATCTCAGAAGGGCACTACGCACATGGAGGGCCGAGGTTAGATGACCTATGTCGAGAAGAACTGAAAGGTAGTAGATTGGTTATTGAATGTAAAAAAAGAGATGAAGTTCAAAGAGGGAACAAAATGAAACTCTGTTTACTTCTGTCAATGGTTGCCACGTGCGGAATGGGAGAAAAAAATAAAAAAAGACAAAAGGAAGAACTACTGGGTCATGGCGATGCATTTCCCCATTGCTGCGTCAATGCTCATTAAAATGGGGTATTGAATCCGCCATGGGGAAAATAATCCACGAATTTGACCCGATCGATGATCTGGATGATCCCAAACTTGGCAACCTAAAATATCAATTACATCCCAGCGCTGAGGAGAGATTCAGATCACGCCTGAAGGTATGGACAGGAACATAATACCTCCAGGCAGATCTGGTCAACTCCAACACACCATGGTGTTCGAACTGTAACAGACATGGATACAAACCAGAAGACTGTTCATACTGTTACAATTGCTTCAAATATGGACACGAAACAGAAGATTGCAGATCGGACCCCAACAACAAACACAAAGCGAACTCGCAATCCAACCCCCCCCCACAAAGGAGGAATCATCGCAGCTACTTTGAACCTTAAAAAAAACGGCGTAATGAGAGCGAATTTACATATGCAGAAATAAGCATGCAGCAAGCTGCAAGCGGACGATCCTTCGCTTAACGAAAGGAGGAACCCTCTTCACGGGACTCATCCAACTCGCGTGTGGGACGTAGTGGGAAAGGTGGTCCGGAACTCCGACGAACCAAGAAATCCAAAGTACCGGCGCAGGAGAGACCGGGATGACAGTCTGCCAACGATGCCTCGAGTGGTTTCCCATAACTCATGTCCCTCAACATGGATCAGCAAGTAAACAGGAGAATGCTCGGAGAACCCTTGAATGTTTCAAGAGCGACTGGCCTCCTGACCATCAAAGTTGGTGGAGAAAAGGAACAATATACAGAAGAACCAAGGGGTCCACAACAACAAGTCTCAAACTCGTCAGACCGAGGGATCCCACTAATGGGAACACCAGCCACCCCCACTCCTTCAGGCTCACCACAAGAGCAACTCCAGAAGAAAATTAGGAATGAGGACCTCACAATGACAAATGTTGCACAGACAACAACGTCACTATCCGCATGGGTGACACGTGTCCTCCCCGCAGCTCAGCACGATACTCCGTTCGTTTTCACCCCCCTCATCTTTAAACAATGCAACCAGAACACTCTGATTTTGATGCAGAGGAAGGATGATAATAGCCTAGTTATCCCATCTCTCACCACCTTATCCTTCCCTCAGCCTGAGATCTTTCTGCAGGCGACAAGAAAAACTTTGGATAAGAAATATTTTGTGCGCCCCGTCCCGGCAGTGCCCTGCATGTCGGTGTATAGATAGGGACACTCAGGAAAGACCCATCCGATTATGAGTTGATGTCTGGAAGCAACTCTAGCGCCTGGCGTAGACCCGTTAGTCGTTGATGAAGGTTTCTTCTGGGCCCTTACGTCCTGGTTTAGAAAAAGCAATAAGAAGGAAAAGTTTTATCTGGAACTGGGAGAAGGTATCAAAGGTGACATCATCACTGAACTTGATGCTCAACTCCCCAAGAAAAGGTTCATCTTTTTCAGGTATATCCTGGAACCGATGAAATTTCCTTGGGACACCAGCACCCTTATACCCAACCCCGACCCCCAGGGACCGTCCCAGATGCTTATCCATCTCAAGGCGCAGGTGGTAGCCTCAGATGGACATTAGGCTTTTAATAGCCTCTTGGAATGTTCGCGGACTGGTAGACACTAATGGTAAGCACATACGAGCAAGACTCAAGTCTTGGATTCACACTCACCGCGTTTCAACAGCCTTATTGCAGAAAACCAAACTGTCTGCGAACAGATTGGCCTCTATGAGTAAGTGGTGAAGTGGCCCTCAGACCTAGGCCCCAAGCCAAGGTTTTAAAGGAGGCACAAATATCCTGATCCATAAGAAACTAGAAAATTACATTCACGAATCACACTCCGATCCCCAGGGTCACTGGGTTTGGACCTCCTTAATAATCAATCATCAGAAATGGGTCTTCATGTCCGTACATGTCCCCTGTGACCACGCTCACAAATCACAGTTTTTCTTGGACTTGGTACCAATTATACCTAAGGCAAATTTCCTCATCATTGGAGAGGACTGAAATACAATCCCCAACCCAAATATTGACTCCTCCACCCCCCGGTCCCACCACACAGAACCGGGCCCTGTTGGCCAAATGACCAATAAGAGCCCTCACCACCTGCAAACAACAACCGTGGATCCTACTGTTACAACACCACCTTGCTAATGAGTGGCACCTCTCCAACCCTGAAGCCTTCTGGCACTGTCTCTTATACACATCTAGATGTGTATAAGAGAC